ATTTTTAGTTTATTCAGCAATACTTTTGAAAATTAAATTAAATTACCAACATAGACTCGTGTTTAGATGTTTTTACTCCGAATAAATAGATATTGATTAAATAAATATTGATATTAATAATTTCGTGTTATATAGTATCCAAAAACACTAGTACACCTTGTTACATAAATAACAAAAATGGATAATTATATTTTTAAAAATTAAACACGCAATTCAAACTTAAAACTTAATATTAAATTTTAATTAAATAATTGTTAATTAAATAATAAGATTACTATTTTCTAAATGTGTATATCAGATTATTATTTACCATCAAGTGCATCAAGATTATTATTATGTTTAATATGTTTGTCACGACATACAGGTTTTTAATTAAAAAGATCTTTAGTAATATAAGCATATAAATTTGGGCACAATTTGTGCTTGTTGTCAATTAGGGTTGTTAATCAATTTAATTTGGCTTATTCAGTTATAGTTATTTACCATTAACATAGCCAATACTATAGTGCTGAGTTAAATAGCATTAGTCTACTGTGCTCAATAAAATTCAACAAATACATTTAAAATTATATTAATGGATTTTAATCTATTTATTAAATATATTGTAAATGTAAATTTAATCTATTTACCCAAAATTATTTACAATTTCTGACCAACATAATACTAACAAAAATTAATTTTAATATTCAAGTTAAACTATAATTGCTAGTTAAATTATCATACTTTTTCTAGATTTTATATTAATTATTGTACATTTATCAATTTTCTGATCATTACTAGCCACCACTGACCAGTGATAACTTTTTATCGGACAAATATGCTTTCAAATATATTTTAGCAACCAGGCCCTTAATGTGTACCAGCACATTCAATAAACATAATGATGATAAGTCTGAATATTTTAAAACAAATGAATTAATCACTGAATAATTTAAAGGTTTATTAATGTTTACTTCAAAAAATTAGTTTTTATTTTGAATTATTGTAGTGTACGAGAGGTTAAGCTACCGGCCCTTTAGGCCGGTGCCTTAAAAAATGAATGAATAATATATGTGGGCTTAAATTATAACTTTTAATTTGTCACAAATACAATCTATATAACTGTGTGCTTGTTACAATAATAATAGATACGGAATATATAATAGGTTTTGGTGCTAGCTTATCGTGCAATCATTTGTGTACGTATTTACTTGTTAAATGTTATATTTATTTTGTAAAAGTTTGATAATAAATTAGCAATTTATAGATTATTCATTATCTAACTTGATAAAATAAAATTTTAATTTCCCTTTGATAAAAATCTTTTAACAAAAATTATTTAATATAACTAATAAGTTATAGCAAACATTGTCAACAATATTATTTAAAATTTACAAATATAAAGTAATTATTATTAAAACTATTAAAAGCATTTCAACATTTATCTTGATCATAAATCCTATTGATTTTTGAGTAGTCGTCTCATAGCTAATACACTGTCCGCTACCATACGGATAGTCCTTACATACAGTTCCTGACATCTGCAGCGACTTATTATGTACTCCCGAATCAAACGCCTGGACCCAACTGTGCGGACACACTTTGGGGGCAATATTTTGCAAACACCTGTAGTCCTCCCATGTCTTACAGCACTGGTATTTCGTAGTGTTATTACTATAATCACCGATTTTACAGTAGTTGTCAACCAATGGACTTGTTTTCAATAGTCGGTCGCATTGACCGCAAACACCGTCGCAACCAATATAACCATCACTATTGGCGGTGGACAGGGAGGTAATACTGGTGCACTCATATAACATAATTAAATATAAAATTTTAAATATCTTCATTGTTTATAAAAATATAATAATGTTGTATAATTAGAAATTATATTATTTTAACAAATAAATTATATTTTATTACAAAAACAATACGTTTCCATAAGTATTTCACACATTATATCACAGTTTTATAAATATTTTTGAAGTCATCTATATATTTATTGCTATTAATAATAGCCTATTATTATGATATAAATCCTTATAATCATTGTGTTTAATGCAGTTATAAATCATTTATGTAATAGGGTTATCCAAGGTTATTAGATTGTTATATGAGTGAGGTAAACAACACTTGAAATATTGTCTATTTGTTAAAACAATAAATTATTAGCTATTATCCACTAATAATGATTAAATAATCACCTTGGTTATGACATTCTTAAGTGTTGACTCAGCTATTTCAATAATTTATGTTTACATGAAACAGTTCAATAATCTTATCAATAATTTAATAACTAATAAAAACTAATTATATAATAATTATTTAACATTGTCAATAATACTCTGTATACTATTTATTATATAATGTTCAATAACCTGTCTGACAAACTCCCTTTCCTTTATTCCTATCCCTTTCCTGTTAAATAAAATATATGTTATAATATTATGATCATTAAATAAAATAGCTATAAAAGTGTCAAGTGGGTTTTAATTTTTAAAATTAATGCAACATTATTATAATAAATAAATAAAATAACAAATAGTTGTTAAAAATAAAAGCAATATTATTATATTAAATAAACGACTAATATATTAAATAATTACTTTTTATTTAGTATATAATTTATTTGTTTTCAAAAATTTAAATATTAATAATTATTTACAATTTAGAATATTTTAATATTTAATTTAAAAGCAAATATTTTTCGTTTAATATTAAATTAACTTTTGTTTACTGTATCAAAATAATGGTTAAATATGTACTGTAATACCAATATAATGTTAAATTTAATTTTATAGATTTTAGTTTAGTATGTTCAATTTTTTAAATGTGCGTATAACATAAATTTTAATTAATATTTTACCATAAACAGTTTTAATTAATCTAAATCTGAAACATGCAAGGGTATTTCAAACTTTTGCCTCATAGGTCTATTAATTGTGTTTACAAAAAAATTATTGCTTTCCAAATTGATAACTATATTATTAGTAACTATAGGACGTTTAACGTAGTTGACAACTTTGTTACTTATAAATATCCATGTTGGTTTATATTTAATGTACATAGCTCGCAGAATATCAGTAAATGCCAATATACTAAACCCAAACCATAGGCTCACGATACTAGCCGTTAGGCTAATGTACTCCTCGAAAGACATTTTTAATGATATCTCATAAATGGTGATCGGCTTCGAAGGGAACTCTATAACCGTCTCAAGTAATCCATTATCACCTTCGTCTTTAACACTAGTTATGTAATAGTGCTGGATACAATCTTTACGATCGCTACATTCGCCTTTACAAACGTCGACTTGTTTGAAATAATTATCACTATTATTAGAATAATCTACTAGCCGATCTTGATAATTTGAATTATCGTTATTGATTAAAAATACATTAAAATTTTTAAAGTCTTTACGAAGGCACTTAACAACACATTCCTGTCGATTTATACCGTTAAAACAATTACTCAAATGCTTGTATTTAACGATGGTTACTTGGTACATTATGGTGAGTAATGTGGCCGCGTTTATTTTCAAGTCCCTTATGTCTCGATCTTTGTATGGATGTAGCAAATGTTCGTGACTCCAATGAATATCCAGCGTTAAAGTTAGCAGATTAAGGAAGGTAATATTTGCCATATTAATAGTTAGATTCATTTTATTAATTTTATTTACTGTGTGCTCACCAAGCAAATAAGATGTATTACCTTGCCGACTCGAATATATTGTAATACAATACTTGTCAACATTGATCGATGATAAGTATTGGTGATATTCGTTACACTGTGCAAATTTAAATTGAGCATAATATATGACATTACAGTTAATAAAATAATCTGGACGCATTAGCGATTCAAATTGCTGGCCAATTGTTAGATTATTAAACTTGTCCAAGGAAAATTTTCCATTTATAGTGTAATTACTAAATAAATGGTCACGTAATGAATATTTTTTGTCAAAACAAAAGGTGAATGCTGGGTGATCTACAAGTTCATAGTTTGGTATATATCGGACGTTAGTAGTGGTTTCGTATGAAAAATATAATGAACCTATTTTATACGTTTGATACACACATCCAAACAAACAAAACGCAACCGATAATACACGGTAATACGACATTTGTATATTTTTAAAATAAGTTAGTTTATATAAAAAATATTTTAATGAATATGGAAAAGTACATTTACCATATTATATTGTCAGACAATGCGCTAAACATTTATTTTATAAAATAAAATCTATTTCACTATGTAATTTAATATCAAATATGTGTACAATTGCAACATAATACCATGAAAATGTTACACCCATTGTTACATGTTTAATATTAATTATATTCTAATTTACTAACCGCACCCAGCAACATTATCTTTAGTATTAATAAAATAAAGTATTTGTATGTGATAGCTGTAGTATTATTGTTGTACACAAAATATAATTAAAATTGATTATACTACATAATAAGTAATTATAATTTTTCAAAAATATTTTCATTATGTCATAGACTTATATTAATAAAATGGTTTTGTTTAATTAGTTTTAAAATACACGCCTAAATAGAAGTGATAATAATTTAAAACTCATAAATATTAATTTAAAATTATAACAATAATTCCTAGACTAAAATAGGTAATAACCTTGTTAATAGGTCAAAATATTATCTAGTTTTAACTTAAAAATTAAGTAAATTTATTAATTAGATAACATTAATTATGATATTTTACTTTACTTTTAACATAATTGTGTTTCAAGATTTGTTATCAAATATATTATCAAATTAGATTTTTGAAGTTAAAAAAATACTTTTTAAAATTTGATCTAGATTAATTTTATATCTACTTTACAACGAACCTGCCTGTTTTAGTTTAGTTATAAATATTAATTGATAAACAATTTTCATAAATTAAAACCCATTCAAAAAAATAAAGGTAAAAAATCATTGAAAATAATATAAAAACAATTAAATCAATCGATTCATTAATGCGTTTAATGACTGATAGGCTGACCAGATGTCCCGCTATTTGCAAAGTTTTTGAGCCCTGTCGTTGGCGTCTTGTATTTGGTTCTCATTGGAAATCGCCATCTGAATGATTCCATCGCACTGTCGGATCTGAGACTCGATCTCCTGTTCCATATCGACCGCCATATTCCTCATGTTCCCGATCATAGCGGACACCCGTCCCATATTGTCCTCCATCTCGTCTTCGCGCGCGTCTTCGGTGATCCGTACGATGTATTGCGTCGACCCAACGGCCCCACCCTTGCGCTCATCGACCCCACGAGTGGGTTGCCCGGACACGACGCCATCGCCCGACGACCTCCAGGTGCCCGCGTCCTCCTTGAACCCCTTGGTCTTACCGCATGGATAGACACACAGTCCGCAGCACTTCTCCATTTCCCTCAGATTAATGTCGGCCTCTTTCATGTCGGCGTTGATCCTATCCATGTCCTCATCGATGCGGTCCAGTTGGTCGCCCTGTTGGTCGAGGTGTACGAGTGTCCGGATTCCCGCCTCCTTTGACTCGTCACAGAGGGCTACCATCCGTCGCGTCGACTCCAGCGAGTCATTGGTCGTTGAATTGGCCCTCATTTGCAACACTTCCAGCTCTGTCTTCGATACTACTGGTGCTCCATTGCCCTCCCAGGCCACCGGTGCGGCCATTTCAGGGAACGTTATTTATGAGATGCCAAATTTGTTTGCGGTTAATTTGGTTTGTGGTCAGTCTGTGTGTGCGGTGTCTATGACTCAATGCAATCACTCATTCATTTCACTCAATAATGAAAATAAAACAATAATATTATTAATAATAAAAATAATTAATATTTTTATTAAAATGTTACACCCATTATAATTATGTTTACTGTATATTACTTATATTTTATGATTAACAACACCTAACAATATTATTCGTTGATTAATATTAGAAATACAGTATTAGTACAGTATATTAAAATGTTTTATAAGTATAGATACATAAATTAAATGAAATAAAATATATTAAATTTAATTTATAGTTATGTAGCATACACTGTTTAGTTATTCGGATTAAACTAAAAATAATAAGTTTATAAATTATTTATTTATTTATTTTCGGAATTTAATCTATTATTTTAAATAAACTTAACACTTAAACTAACATTGTCACGGGTGTGACTAAAAAACCAACATTTTAACAACCAACAGTAATAAACCAACAAATTAAAAACCAACAAAATAAAAAACCAACATAATATAAATTAATATAATAAATGGCATTTTCTTTATTTTATTTAAAAAACCATTTTTTAAAATAATAAATAAAATAAATAATACGGTCTATTTAATTACCTTTAAAAGTATATACCTCAAACCATTACTACAATTTTTCGATATTTTGATACCCTTCCCTCCCTGTTCCCTATAATTTTTACAAATATAAATCCTTGTAATTTGTCTAAATTAGTTTTACTTATTAAACTAGCTCGTATAAATTAAAAATTAGTAATATTTACGAATACCATATTAATAACTCAATTAGTTATAATTCTAGATAATTATTTGTTTTATTTAAATTAATTTTTTTCAATAATTTACTATTAGTTAAATAACGCAATATTTTACTATATTTACTATTTTATAGTAAAATAATTTTCATTATATTAGTGCTATTATTGTGTTTTAAACATTTTTCAATTTGGATTAGTTTTGTAATTGGAATTTTAAAAATATATTTCTAGAAGTTAAATTAAAATTTTAATATTTGACAGTAATAAAATAAACTGTTATATAATACTCTAGGTAAAGTAAATTAAGTTATATTTTACTAAAATATTTCTTTATATTAGCTATCAGTCATTGAAACCTATTAATTTGATTTTTAAAATTTTATTAATTAATTTTGAAATTAATCACTTATTAAATGTAAAAACAATTATTCAATTAAATAAGAATAAAAGGAATATTCTGTAAAAACTTTTAATTTACAATAGAAATCAAATT